GCTCCTGACTTTTCACTCCTCTTACCAATTTGGGGGCTTGGCTCATGACTTATGAATGCTAGGGTTTCAATATACTCTTAACTTTACCCATAAAGGGGGACTTATCGGACAAGTATTAGGTCACCATCTGATACCCCTATGTCAGATCTACCCAGTTTTGGCAGAAGAATGGCCCTACGAGGCTGGACCAGAGCTCTGTTACCCTCTCTCTGACATTAGACAGTGGTGCAGTAGGGCAGAATCAAAGAACAGGCCCAGCAGGGGATGAGGCTTACTGAAAATACTTTGACAGCTTTTAAAGGAGGTCTTTGTATTTAATAGCCATGTTTTGCCTATGTAGCAAAAGAGGTCTCACCTTGCTATCACCAAAGGTGTACATATGCAAGAAGTGATTATTTTAAAGCCAGGACATGCAATCTAATGTCATGCTTGTTTTTCTGAGAAAACTGTGAGATCTTCACACGTTATCATAACCTCTGGGATTGCCTTTGGGCCACGAGTCCACAAACAGGAGAGGGCTCTTGGCAGCATTCAAAGACAAAGAACTTTACTTGAAGAAGGACAGCCTAAACTTTCCAGAAGCAGGACACTTCTCAGTGCTCAGGAAGAAACTCAGGACTTTCACAGAACAAAAACTCAGATAGCAATGGAAAACCTTTAACTCTTGCAAGGTACCTTTTCCCAGCAGTGAACAGAACGGTGCCTCTCAGCTGCGTGTCCCAGACCTCCCGTTCTGGTCACATCCATCTCTTCTCTCTTTGAATAAATGAGACACGCAAGACACTGGGTTACTCAAAGCAACTACAGGATTTGGTGCTAACATTCAGCAAAACAAGTGATGATTCTGCCTTCAGCAACAAGGACCACTCAGCATCCAAGAAAAAGAGGCAGTAGGAAGGCCACCCGCTCAGCAGTAATGAAGCTGCAGAAGGCAACTGGATGGGGCTGCAGTCCTTGCCTAGAAGATGCAACAGACTCTGCAGGAACCCCGAGGCATCAGCCCCTTTCTCTTTTTTATTTCACAGTATAGACTTGACTTTAGATGCCTTCACAAAGTCTCTGAGATCTTACATTTATCGTGTTTGCCCTGAGCTGACACTGGATAAACCTCACAGTAGCCAACCATCAGTGTAACGTGCAAGAGCACTCCCACGGGTATCACCTCACCGTTTCTACAGAGGAAGGGAAAGGAAGGGAAGGTTCCTATCATTGAGCCTCTTTTTCTGTTTCCTTGCGCCATGACTGTTACAAGCCCAACATTTAGACCCAAAAAGCTGGGCACAGCCTGTCTGCAATGCAGTCCCAACGTTGTAAATCTCTCAGAGTTAGCGACAAGGGTGCATTTCAGAAATATCTCCCTGGAAGCCAATGTAACAGGGAGTAGTGTTTGGTCCGCGCAATCTCTGGGAAGTTAGAGCAAAGCCAAACCGACGCAAAGGTTATCACTTTGCTGAAAAGAAGTCCTTTAAGTTCCTAGCCCAGGCATTAAGCTCAGTACTGAGAGTTCATAATAATAGCATGCTTGAACTATGGCATTACTAAATTAGTAGGCTTTGCAGAGTCCGTAAATCTCTCACAGGGGTCCCCTTTTCCACTTCAGATAGAAAGAAAGTCATGGCTAGGAGTTACAAAGGACTCTAGAGGGAATTAGGCTCTGAAGTCCTATTGAATTAGCATTGTTTACAAAGCAGTCATAAGTATAATGGATGTTAACGAGCCTTTAATGAGTCGAGTTACAATGCAACACGTGGTGAAGTACAATAAACAAAAAGGCTGTGCTTCCCTCTCATTTATTCTGCTTGACACAGGTGTAGAAGCCCTGAATCTAAATGAATCAATCCCATTGAGAACAGAGTAAAAGAGCTGAATCTGCTCTGTAACTTAAAAAAATGAAAATAGATTTCCTTTAAGCCAAACCAAACTAGGACCGAATTACATCAGAATTAAATGTTCACACAAGCAGCTCACAGCATTACAGAATCACAGGATGGCTGAAGTTGGCAGGGACCTCTGGAGGTCCCTGATCCAACCCCCCTGCTCAAGCAGAGTCACCTAGCGCCAGCTGCCCAGGACCATGTCCAAACGGCTTTTGAATATCTCCAGGTTGGAGACCCCACAGCCTCTCTGGGCAACTTGTTCCAGTAACTGACCACCCTCACGGCAGAAAAGTTTTTTCCGTGTTTAGACAGAAACTCCTGTGTTTCAGTTTATGCCCATTGCCTCTGGTCCTGTCACTGGACATCGCTCAAAAGAACCTGGTTCCATCTTCTTTGCACCCTTCCTTTGGGTGTTTATACACATTGATAAGATGCCCCTGAGCTTTCTCTTCGCCAGACTGAACAGTCCCAGCTCTCTCAGCTTTTCCTCATAGGAGAGATCCTCCAGTCCCTTAATTATCTTTGTGGCCCTTTGCTCTGTCTTGTACTGAAGAGCCCAGAACTGGACCCAGCACTCCAGATGTGGACTCCCCAGTGCTGAGTACAGGGGACAGATCACCTCCCTCGACCTGCTGGCAACACTCTTCCTGATGCAGCCCAGGGTACCATTAGCCTTTCTTGCAGCAAGGGCGCTTTGCTGGCTCACGTTCAACTTGGTGTCCACCAGGACCCCCAGGTCCTTTTCTGCCAAGCTGCTTTCCAGCTGGTCACCCCCCCAGCATGTATTGGTGTGTGGGGTTGTTCCTCCCCACGTGCAAGACTTTGCATTTCACCTTGTTAAACTTCATGAGGTCCCTGTCAGCCCGATTCCCCAGCCTGTCGAGGTCCCTCTGGATGGCAGCACGAGCCTCTGGCATATCAGCCGCTCCTCCCGGTTTCGTCTCATCTGCAAACTTGCTGAGGGTACGCTCTGCTCCATCATCCAGCTCATTAATGAAGATGTTGAACAGGACTGGTCCCAGTATTGACCCCTAGGGTACACCCCTAGTTACTAGATGCTAGACTTTGTGCCACTGATCATTCCCCTCTGAGCTTGGCAATTCAGCCAGTTTTCGGTCCACCTCACTGTCTGCTCATCCAGCCCGCACATCATCAACTTCTCTGTGAAGCTGTTACGGGAGACAGTGCCAAAAACCTTACTGAAGTCCGGGCAGACGATATCCACGGCTCTCCCCTCCCCCGCCAAGCCAGTCACTTCATCATAGGAGGTTATCAGGTGGATCAAGCACGACTTCCCCTCTGTGAAGCCATGCTGAGGGAAAGCTTTTGCTTTGCAGCTTAAGACTGGAGAGGAAGGAGTAGACATTTTATCATCATTATACATGCCATTGCAGAAAGAGCCCTTGGACTCTCTGAACCAAATCCTTCAGCCTTTATTCTCACCAGGCAGCCAAGTCTAGCTAGTTAGCCATTTATACCACCTCAGTCAGAGACAACCTAAGGTACCCCTCACCGAAGATTCAAGACTACCCAAGTCCCACTGAAATCAATTTTATCACTCCGTTCTCATGTTGACAGGCTGTCATTTAAAGAGCAACGCATCCCGTCTCAACGGTGACGTGGCTGAGAATACAGGTGTCATCAGGAAAACTGTAAACATCTCTCTGCCACGTTGGGGAACTCACCTTGTACAAACACACAGTGCATGGTCTCAAGTTTTGCCATACGTATACAAATACATATATTTGTACATATAATGGGTATAACAGATATGTAAATGTAAATGGGTATAACAGATATAACTACACCTGGTTTTAATCAGTGAAGCATTTTTTCGTATATAATTCTGTATACATTAGCTATACTACGTATAAGCCTGAAATTTTATGTCTGACAAAAAAGGTCAACCCAGGAGATATTACAAATTACAGGAACGTATGAGAGAATGACTCCCAAATAATCTGTACTCCAAATATCATTACCTATTGAAGCACTGGTTTCTGAAGGCGCCATGCAGCAGTTCTCTTTTCTAATTTTTTATTACACGAGATACCCTCTCAGACTGCACAGTGCTGTCAGACAGACTGCCAAACAGGGCTGCTCCAGAAAGATGGTCAATAAAAGACTGTAGCAGTTCAGCGGGGAAAGAATGAGACTGCAGGCAAGGGAACGATCACCTCTGTGTGATCTTGGGGATGGATCACCTTGGGGATGACCAAGCCAGGCTGCTGAGTGGGGGTGTTTTATGCCTTTTGAAGCGTTCTGTGCCTCCACTGAAACTTCCCTTAAGTCCTTAAATAAAGTGAGACCTTTTTCAGGTGTCTCATTTTTAGTCTTCCTCTTCTGCTGCCACAGTCATCCAGAGAGTAATGATGCTGAGGCTGGCACATGGACCGCAGATTGCAATGTGTTCAAATCCATACGGCTGAAAAGTTGCAAAATTACGGAAAGTGAGTCTTTATGAATATAACAACCTTCTAACTGGCATTCATACAAAAGAGAAGAATCCAAAAGCAAACCAGATCAGATTTTACATTTACATTTACATTTCATCCTGAGGAACAATGTGTGTTGTACTGAAATTACACTATGACATACACTCACAATGAAATGTGCCTCCTCAAGGGTGGAATATAACCAGTACGTAGCAGCACTCAGGAGCACTATTGACCTGGAAGTCCTGCCTGCCACCACAAGCACCAAGAGATACTTGACGACTTCCTAAGATAAGGATCAAAGTTTTAGAGTTTTTAGGATCAAAGTTTAGCTTATGGGCATTATTGTATCTTACAGTATGAGAAGGACATCATCCACTGAAGCACGAACAGCACTTCCTAGAGCACTCCGGGCTCCTGAGGAGAGTGCCCTGTAATCAACCCAACAATACCGGAGAGTCGTGGCTACAATCGAGGCTTGTCCTGTAAGGGACCGCCTCGGGATGGAGATGGATAGGTCCTGTCATGTTTATCACCTCCCCCTTCCTGAAGCCACGATTTGTGGCAGGTGAGCAAAACAGAGAAGTGTGGTCCTTCCAGGGGGACAAGGAGGAAGACACAGAGGCAGGCTATAGCTGGAAGCAAGAGTAGCATCGAGTAAGAGGCACCTCTGCAGCTGGGGAACAAGATGATGACCAAGCAGCCCCAGACCTGGAGGCAGAGAGCATCAGGAGCTACGGAAAGACTGGAAGCTCCTATTCGAAACTTGCTAGCCCAGCCTAGCCTCATTGAGAGTGCAAGAATAAACAAACGCACAGCAAAAGCCGATACAGCAGCAGGAACCACTACATGTACAGTTGTGGGTTAAACTCCTACTAAATGAAATGCCTTCTCTCGTGGCTCAGGTCACTGCTTCCCCGCAGATCCAGGATTGCCAAGTAATAAAGCACTTCCTCCTACAAGCAGGACCTGTTGCACCTTTTCTGTTCTCCCATTCCCTACCAGCCATGAGATCGGCCAGGAGCATGACTGCCTTTCCACGTTACACCACTCCTCGGAGCCCCAAACCAGACCAGTAGGCAGTAGGCCAACTGCAGCCCCGGTCACACTGTGACACTTGACTTTCTGCACTCAATCCACCAGTTGCATGGACAACACTTCCCATAGGAGACTCAGTAGCTGGCTTCTTGCGTCCACGCAGCACCAATGATTTGCAAGCCTAATATCCGCAGCGTGAACTACTTGGTGAAGTGATTTCATATAGCGCCAAGGTTCTATAGGAGTCAAAAAAGAAAACAGGAGGGAAGAAACAGAGGGAAGACGATCTGTTTTCATAAAAAGGCAAAACTAGACGCCACTTCCAAGCAGCTTGACACCTCCCAAAGGCCCCCCCCGGCAGAGCCGGTGGCTGGGCACAGGACGGCGACGCCAGTGCCCACAGGACAGGGGCCAAACGCTACCGCGAGGCCAGGAACCGCCTGGCTGCGGCC